ATGTGGCTGTGCATGTTGATGCCAGTTGCTCAGCTGCTCTGACCACACAATCCTCACTGAGTTGGTTACAGGGACCAGAAAGCAGGCTCCAGCGTCTGGGAACTGGCTTCCCACAATCCAGTTCTGTGGAGGAGGCAGTACTAGGAGGCCAAGAGGGGCTGTGTCCCATAAGAATAGCTACTGACCAATAAAATGGGGTTTACTGGGATCTGAAAATCTTCTTTGATGCCCAAATTGTATGGCCAATATAATTTAATTCAATACAAGGTTATAAAGGATAGCAAAAGGCCTAAACTGCACTCTGGGCTATTGAGAACTGAGGGAAAAGACAAGCCTGATATGTAAGATTCATAAAAGAGGTACAAACATATAACTGTGGGGATATATAAGAGGGAGGCATTTTTTTTATTATTAGAGAAAATCTACAACAGTGATTCTCTACATTAGCTGAATACTCTTTCTAATCATTTGGAGACTTAACAAAAACAATGACCTTCATCTAAATCCTACAATAGATCAATTGAACTAGAATCCCAGATGTGATGTCCCACTGCAGGTATTTTTGAAAAGCTACTCAGGGGCACCCATTGTAAAGCAGGTGTGAACATCACTAGTTCAGGGGAAGGCCCTCATCAGGAATTTGACAAGTGGAAATGGGGATAGAGGGGTGGTCAGGGAAAAGCAGGCAAGGAAAGGAGAATAGAACAGAGAGTACAGGGTTTGGAAAGAGTGCACGATGTATTTGAGTAGGCTTGATGATCCACACAGAGAATGAGGGGGCGCAGAGGAGAACAAAAGATTCATGCACACAAGAAAGATCATGGAGACAGATTGACATCCGAGGGAGTTGGAATCTATTTTTAAAATATGTAAAAATCCTGCTCTTTATACATGCCACTGTTAACTATATATCAGTTTTCATTGCCAAATGACCCAGATAATTATCTATAATAATAAAGGCGTGATATGCAAACCGAACAGTGGAACAACCTTCTGGACGATCTTCTGGACGAAGCATGGGCTGCTACGAGGGCCCAGGCAGCAGCCAGGGAGGCTGTGAGGGCCTACCCTTGCATGAATTTCATGCATCGGGCCTCTAGTGCCAATATAAAAAAGCAATTTCTCACCACTTCTGTTAAAATAAGAATCACTGATCCCCACCATTGTGTCCAAACACAGAGTGCACTGTACCCTAAGGAACAATGAGTCACGGTCAAGGGCATGTACCTTGGTTGCGGGCACATCCCCAGTAGGGGGTATGCAGGAGGCAGCTGATCGATGGTTCTCTCTCATCGATATTTTTATCTCTTTATCCTTCCCCCTTCCTTTCTGTAAAAAATCAATAAAAATATATTTTTTAAAAAAGAATCATTGATCCCCACCACTGTGTCCAAACACAGAGTGCACTGTACTCTAAGGAACAATGAGTCACTGTCATCCTCTTTTGCAAATACTACTTGGCTAATTTTTGTGTGCCCCTCTTTCCTGGAATTATAAAGATAAACTGAAAAAAAATGACATACACACACACACACACAGAAAGAGAGAGAGAGACACTTTTCTTAATCTTCAAGAACTCCGATTCTGTCTGTCTAAGACTAGTCATTTCTTCAATAATGTGATCTACTTTAGGAGAAATAGGCAAATCTTAAACACTTTTAGTCACAAAAGAGTAAACCTTGCGTGGTGCTGTTCTTTATGGCATCAATAACATTTGATGCTTACAGTAACTGATGAAGTCAACAGAGCAGGTGTTATTATCCTTATCTAACAAAAAATGGCACGGAGTGCATTCCACTGTTCTCCTAAAAGCCTACAACTGCCACATTTTGGTTTCTATCATATGCCATTCCTACTATTATCTGGGGGAAAAGCATAGCTGAGTACATATTGCTAAAGCACTTAAAACTATTTTTAAAGATTGTTTTAGTTGCTATTTTTTTAATGTAAGCATTAGTAGCTGATGTTATTAAGGGCTTATTCTGATGTGATAACATTCAGTGCCATTAAGATATGCTCTTGCAATTCATAATATTTCTGGTCATAAATTCCTTAAGAATGAGATCTTACCTCTTTCACACCCATATTCCCAAAGACTGTGCTGATGCAATAGTTATTCTCAATGAATATTTTTTTCTGAATGACAATACTCACATGATTTTGTGATATTTGACATCCTGTGTATATATCACACTCTATAAAGTGAGTTATGTTAAACGAAATCGAAAATAAACCTGACCTTGATGTGGTTTAGATTTTCTATTCCTTAATCATTCGTGCCTCAAATGCCTACTACTGCGTGCATACAGTGGTCTAGTGGTTGGAGGTGCAGTGGTGAAGGACAGACAAGGTCTCTGGCCTCAGGGAATTTGCATGTTTGTGGCAGAAGACAATCACACACAGGCATATGCACAATAAACTTGAGCACAGAAAATGGTATAGAAGATGTGGAGGAGAGTGATCGATACAATGGAACTGACCGGGGAAGGACTACTTTAGACGAAATGTTTTTTCAAGGGACCATCTCCTTGAAAAGGTGGAACTGTAGCCAAGAATTAAATTTAAAGAAGAACAAAGTCATGTGATAAGACAGGAGTCGAGTGTTCCAGACACAGAGAACAGCAAAGGTCCTGAAACTGGGTGAGTTCACTGTCATGTTCAAGGTGTGAAAAGATAAAAAGGCCAACATACATAGGGCATGAGTCTAAGAGTTAGCCTTGGAAGCCATGCAAAGAAGTTGAAAATTTATCTTACATTCAGTGGGAAGGTAACAGAAGGTGGAAACAAAACAGAGACATGATCTGATTTATAAACCTATTTCACCAAGAAATAATTCTGAACCAACAGAGTTCCCTGAACTACCAAAGGAACACTAAATGATGCTCATATTTCTGTTCTTATTAAGACTCATTTACAAAGATATTTCTAAAAGTGTGGAAATGAAGGGGGGATTCAGATGAACAATGACCCAAGTTAGAAATGCCACTAATAAAAACAACTCTGTTCCCTTGGCAAGGAATCCTGTTTGTGAGGTTTTCCTGGAAGATCAAGGATCAGTTCATGGATGAACAAAGTGCCCCCCAGGGATGCAGGAGCTTCTGACCCCACCTTCCATGCCCCAGGCATGCTCCTCAGCACAACAGAGAGAAGCCAGCAGGTGAGGGGACATGACATCTGTCATCCTATCAGGGACATTTATGAGAGTGACAGGGAACACACTGATGTAATTGATAGTTACATAAAAACAACAGGTATAAGCAGGGACTGCCCTTGGGACCTGGGATGCTGAGTCACTCTTGACCCGGGCTTGAGTCTCCACTTGTGTGACAACAGCGATGGGCCAGGGGGCAAGGTGTCATCCTTTCTGTGACTGTGTTTCTTTACCAGCACTTGATATGGTTGCATTTTTTTGCGTTTATTGAACACCGACTACCAAAGGGTGTCATGGGAGAAACAGAAGAATAAAAGCCTATTTCATGCTCACAGTATAGTCTGAGAGCACAAACATTGTGCGGTGGTGTAATAAGTCAAGATGTAGAAACACACGCCAGAAACAGCTCTAGTTAGCAGAGGGGAGGAGTGATGACTCCTCTGAAGACATCTAAGAATGCTTCCTCGGGGTGCGGTGGTACACGAGCTGCTTGAGCTTGATCTAGTCCTATTCACAGAACACCTGTTTACTAGTATACTGAGCTGCACATTCCGAGCTGTATGTAAAGCAGGAATATGAAGACCCAGGATAAATGCAAACCGCTCCCTGAGGTTGCATTAACAATAAAGAATCATGGATAGAGCATGGGGCAGAATATGCTGGAACATTTAAGATTATAATAACTAACGTTTATTGAACATTTAACAGATATGAATACAATTAATTCTCACAACACTCTTATGAGGTACAGACTTGCTAAGACCTTGCCCAGAATAACCTACTTAGAAGAGGCAGAGCTGGAATATGACTGCAGGGAATCTGGCTCAAGGGTCCACGCTTTTAACAAGGACACTGCAGGCTTCTCAACAGCAACTCTAAATTGTGCTAGATAATTCATGCTGTTGCCTTTTGGCCCCTAATTCATCTTTGCTTTAAGACAATCTCAGGGGAGAAGTTAAACACACACACAAGTAGATCCCTGTAGCGACCTTTACAAAAAGAGATATGCAATGAGCAGAGACAATGAATTCTAACTCAGCCACCTTGACTTTGGGAACCCATGGTCAGAATGCCTGCCTGCTAGGACTGTCCAAATCAGCCTTAAGAATCAGCTGAGTCCACATGACATAAAAGAACTGAACCATCCAAGGCTCTCATATCAACAATTACATTTTTTATCAGCTGTTTGGATTTCAGGAAAGTAGTGAGGTCCTGAAGGTGATGAACTCCATTGCTAACTTCCTCCATTCAGCATTTAATAGAAGCGCAAGCAGGACAGTGATTAAAGGGGACCTTGCAAGGATGGTGGTGGCATTAACAATAATAAGGTTAATGCCACTATATGTTCGTACATTGATTCAAGCATATCATCTTTAAATACACAGTATCCAATTTAATCCTAACCATGCATGAGTATTACTATTCACAGTTTTTCATATTTACAGATGAAGGTTCAGAGAGGCACCGTGACTTTTCCAGTACAAAAGCTCCAATTCAAACGAAACTTTGGAAGTTCAGCTACAGTTCCTTCTCTCTCACAGCTGTGTCTCCAACAGTTAAACATTCCAGCAAGCCGCCCTGATGTCCTTTGGAAAGAACTAAATGCCTTAGCATACAGACCCAGACTCTGCCCTTTGACTCCTCCTGTTTCTGTTTAAAAATTCGAAAACCCCACACTGCCTAATTCCCGGCCTAATCCCTGAATTGCCGAGGGAGGGAGTTTGAAAACAGATGGGTTTAACCAGCGAGCGGTCATATTTTAACACCAGGAGCTGAAGAGAGTACCAGAGCTGGCTGCCCCTCCTGCAAAGGCCCTGAAGGATGGAGGGCAAGGCTGAAAGCTGCTTACCAACACAGGACTCCCCGGACAGTGAATAGGTCCCATCGTCATGGAAACCGCTTCTGCACTCACAGTGGTACCACCCTGGCAGGTTAACGCAGCGGGAATGGTGGTGGCACTCAATGATTCCCTCTGTACATTCATCAATATCTGCCTCAGAGAAAAACACAAGCCCACCAGGACATTAATTCTTTTGGCACTAACCCTTCAGCAAACACCTAGATATGCTCATGTCAACAAAGCAATTACAACTGCTCAATGACCTAAAATGCAAGTTACAGGAAGAACCAAATCCCATTTTCTTCAGAATCCAAATTGAAAGCTTCATCTTCAGATGCTTTCTCATTATGGACCAAGGAAGGGGAGCTGATGGCCATGGAGACAGTCCCAACTGCAAGTGCTGTGTAGGCTTCAGAGACACCAAAAACTAAACTGAGGATGTCTGGCCCAGCTCTGTTACTGCATGCGTAGGCCTTTTCTCGGATTCAGTAACTCCAAAGTAGTAATTCCAGATATTATTTGGGATTTTATTATCATATTCATGAACAAATAAGTTGAGTAAACTCTGGATTCACTAGTGTTAAACCAATGTTTCTTATAGTACGGTCTTAGAGGCTTAACACATTTACATGCCCGGCACAGCTTCGAGAGGAGAATAATATAAATGCCCTGTTTCCCAACCACATTTGGCTGGGGGAAGCTTTCTTTTGGGGGGGATTCCTTAATATTTTGGAAACTGGTGTTCTGGGGAGCAGGGTTTGGAAACTACTGTTCTAATTATTTTAAACCTTCTGATTCACTAGAGGACTTGATTTATGACCGTCAATCAGAGATGCTCATTCTCAGTCATTCCTGACAAAGGAAAGTCCCTTGGGCTGTGTCTGCTCAGTGCTAAGGACCACAATTTTTAGCCCAGCAAACACCTGGAGCGTGCATAGGCTCTCCAGCCCAAAGGCTGTCTCTGGGCTGGAGGGCCTGACCTTTGCAGAAAGAGGAGCTGTCACTAATGAAGCCAAGTGTCAGTTCATTCCCGCCATGTAATTATTTCTTGGAATACAGCCACTATTGGCTGGGAATCGTCCCCTCGCTCTCCTGGAAATATCTGAACCTTGGCAGTGTTATATGAATAGAAATCTAATTAATATTGGGATATAGCACATCATGATTAAAACCCTCTTTGCGGTCTTTTTCAACAGTTCCCTGCTGTAGGTGTCAGCTCGGGGCAATCAGCCACCAGTGGTCCTATTATCTAGACAAGTTCTGAACTGTGTGAGGAGCTGTGAATGCAGCTTGAAACCTGTCACTCTCATCATGCCATTTCAGCCAAGAAAAGAGAGAAAAGGGTAGTCTTTATTCCAGGCAACTCTGGCTTTAACTTTAGCTTTAGCTTTTCCCCACCAACTGCCCTATTCTTCCTTTATGGCTTTTCCCTGGTATGAAGGGTCCATGCAGTCTTTTGACATACAGTATCTCTTAGGTTTCTAAAATCAGTCTGCCCTCAGGACCCAGGGGTTCTATGGCACCTTCTGCAACTGCAGCCAGGGTGTGTGGACACGTATTGTAAGTCTCCACAGAATGAATTTGCAACATCTACTTTGTCATTTCTAAAATTGCACAGGTGTACAGTTCTATAGGACACACCTTGGGTCACTAAAAACTTCAAAAATTGAAACAGAGAAGTGACTGGAGGCGATGTTTCACTGAGAGGCAGGGCTGACCCTAGACTATGGAGGCAGTTCTGTATTTTTTAATATGGGTTACCCAGGGACACACATAACCAGAAGACTGATTTGCAAAGGTAACGTCTCTACATTCAGCTCAAAATACTCTCTGCAGCAACAAATTCTACCTCAGGCATTTATTTCCAAAGCTCCTAGGAAGGCAGTCTGGATCCCCACAGACCCTGTCACTTCTAGATCACCAAGAGTGTTTAAGTAGCAACCATTTAGCCATGGTGAGTGTGGTGGGGAACCAGGAGATACCAAAGCAAAGCTTCTGAAATAAACAAAACAAGGCTATGTCCTAGCTGGCCGGAGACAGGCCTCGTTCACATCTGCTGCCCTTTCACACTCAAAACCACCCCCGTGTGGAGGAAAAATCATTGGAAAATGTTACCAATAATTCCTCCAGGCTTCAATTTCAAAGGCAATTCCTAGGAGGAGGAATGGTGGCGAATGATGTGCAAATGTTGAAAAAAAAAATGTGCAGATAGTTTTATTCCCCAAATGGAATGATAAGAGAGAGCAGGAGAAGCTTCCGTGGCCCAGCGGGACCGAAGCTCTCTGGGCAGGGCTCTCTCAGGGAGTGAAGAACATTACAGGAACACATCTATGATTTCCCCCCAGACAAGCAATCCCTGCGTGGCATTGAACATGAGATAGGCGTGGAGCTGTCCCTTATCTGTGAGCTACATGGCCAGGGACTCGCTGGGAGTCGTAGCCAGAGCTCATCGCACACTGGCACCTGGTAACAAGGCTGCGCGTTGCTGATGTGGGTGCAAAGTTTATACCTGAAGCCAAACATTTCATTCCTCATGCAACCAGGCTCCTTGAGAGGCGCTCACATTTTCATCGTGCTCCTAAAACCGCCTGTTTCTTCTGCATAGTCACAGCAGGGTTAAAAGCAACCACCACAGACCCCAATCCAGAACACACTCAAAGGCTTTTTGGCAACATTGTGGGGGCTTTAGACATTATAAATGGGCTGTGGCTGCCTTTGTCCTCAGAGATCCGTTTCTCCTAGCTGGCACTTGCCACAGGCAAACAAACAAGACAGATGCTCTGGGAACGAGGTCTCGGTGAGTTCACTGTGGAATCCAACTCTGTCTCTCAAGGATTTCTGATAAATTGCAGTGAGCCTGGCTCATCACACAGGTTGTCAGCCATCCCAAGGGAAAGGGGCAAACAAAAATAACCATGTTTCCTTCCTATACCAAGTCCTAGGATTGTGTTTAAATTTCAGTTTAATCCAGCACAGACCTGAAAATGTGGCAGAGGAAACAAGAGATGCCGGGGGGTTGAGAGTGGAACCTATAGTATTCATTTCTGGGCCCTCAGTGCCAAGTGTCGGCAACATAAAAACTCACATTACAGCCCAGGTCAAAGGGCTAACAAACGGTGACACCGGGTTCAGAGTGACACAGGACCTACATTTGTCACTAGTCTATCAAGAAAGAAAGTTGATCCATCAAGAAAGTTTTACAAAAGATAACTCTTATTCAAGTCATATTAATTGAATGTGCCAAGGATGGTTTTTGTGCCGTGGTGGCTGGAAAGGTGATAGACACATGATTCCTGAAACCCAAGAACACCCAATCAAGGGGAAGGGATATACACACTAATCCTTCAAATCCCAGCCAATGTCACCTTCTCCAACTCCTCCAGGTACACAGTCCCCCATCCCCAGGGACTCTATATACACACACACACATCCATGTCAACATACATCTTACTCTATATCACACCTATTTTCCGTTTGTGTCCATCTTGCAAATGTAAATTTCTCAAAAACCTAAGAGACAACATCTTAGGTTGACATTTCTTGTGATAGTGAGTATCAAGAATATGAAGGTGCCCCCAAAATGTTTGTGGGAATGAATGAATGAATGAATGAATTACAAAATAAATGACAATGAACTAAATGAAAGGAACAATGAAAAAGAGCTATCCCAGAGACTCAAAGGGCCACAAGATTTCCTGGTGTTTGCAAATCACAAAGATGTAATGTCAATTCACAAAACTAAATATAACGGGGTTAGTTTAATCTTTATATGTTATTTACCACTAAAAGACGCCATGTGGTTTTATTTAATACTTGCTTTTATGTCTAATCTTTAGAGATTTTTAAGGAGGCACAATAGGCAACAAAAAGACATAGTTATAATTGCCTTCAAGGAAGGATCCTGCCTATACCTGGAGTTTTTTATCAATATCGAAAAACAGATGACTACCCAAGGTTTTTTCATAGGATGTGCCCTAAGCAACACACTTAATCCTATTTGGAATGTACAGTGAATTTGTTCCCAAAAGCCATTTGCAAACAAATCCTTCGATTCCTGCAAAATGCTAGTGTCTTGAATTGGATGAACATCTTCCTTTACCTGATATCCTGCCCTCTCAGATTTGCTACTTGAAGATTTATAAAAGCAGACAAGTTTTTCTTAAAGCTTATTTCCAAGGAGATATTTTTTTGTATTTCATATTAATTGGTTCACAGTGAAGTACAGGCTTAAATTGCATTTGAAATACATATTTTATCAGGATTTATGAGGAGGTGGCATCATAAGAAAAACTTTTGATACATTCATTCATTCAACAAAAGCTTATTGAGCACACATGTATAAAGGATTGTATTACACCCTGTGATACCGAGATGAAAAGGTAAGCTTCCTGTGCTCCTTACACACAGAGTCTATTAGGGCAACCTGAACTGTAAAAAAATAACTGTGGTTAAGAACATGGGCTTTGGAGACAAACATGACTTCAATTTCCCACTCACCACCACAGGAATGCATTGTTTAGATTTTTTCAAATCTTTGTTTTCACATCTGTAGATTGAAGAGAATAAAAATAAACTTCACAGACTTATGAACAAAGAAGACTTTTAAGCAAAATCTATTATGTTTCTTCTTTTGTATAGAATATTCACTTTGGACTCTTTATTGCTGCTAACAATGAGCAGATGGGCAAAAATAACTCATATTAACTTGTAACCAGGAAACTGGTAGGGATTGCAAGATGACTTCTGGATCTTTAAAAACATTCACTTTGCCCTAACCCAGTGGTCGGCAAACTCATTAGTCAACAGAACCAAATATCAACAGTACAACGATTGAAATTTCTTTTGAGAGCCAAATTTTTTAAACTTAAACTATATAGGTAGGTACATTGTTATGAACTTAATTAGGGTACTCCTAAGGCTTAGGAAGAGCCACACTGAAGGGGACAAAGAGCCGCATGTGACTCGCGAGCCCCAGTTTGCCGACCACAGCCCTAACCAGTTTGCTCAGTGGATAGAGCATCAGCCTGCGAACTGAAAGGTCCCAGGTTTGATTCCAGTCAAGGGCATGTACCTTGGTTGTGGGCACATCCCCAGTTGGGGGTGTGCAGGAGGCAGCTGATCGATGTTTCTCTCTCATCGATGTTTCTAAC